GTCCTGCTGTTCTCTCAAAACTGTTTACTTGACGTTTACAATTTTTTAAAAACTTGTCCGTGCACATAACTCTGAGAGTAATGTAGTATCATTGTTTGTGGTATGGACCTGTCCTAATGACATTGTTTATATAGAAGCAACTGAATTTTTTTTGTTGTTTTTAAAAGTACTGCCCCTGCACAAACGCCAGTTTTAATGTCAGTGGAGCTGTTTTAACTTTTAAGAAACCACAAACATTTTATCCTCTAAAACTTTAATTTTGAAAGAAATAAAACTTTAAAAGAAATATATTTCCAAAACTGGTATATAGTAGCCTCCCTACTTCTGTTTTCTTTTAATTCTTGAATAAAGTTCCTGAGTTGAGATGTTACATAGTTACATATAAACTTTTCAGACCAAGATCCCATGTTATTGCTGAATTCCTGGTAATTTTTTTAATGTTAAGTCATAATAGAAGAAGTAGCGTTAGTAATAGAAGCAAAAGGTAACTGCCTACACTATACTATACATAGCCATATATTCACAGTATGGGTGTGTGTGCACATGGAAGTGTGATTTAGCATTCACAAGTTTTAATAGTTGGTTTTATTGTTAGGAAATGGTATGATATTAATTCCAGTCATTTTATTTTCAATAGGTTGACATGATGAAAGAAGCACTAGAAAAACTTCAGCTCAATATAGTTGAGATGAAAGATGAAAATGCAACCTTAGATGGTGGAGATGTCTTATTTACAGGTATAGTTGTATTTATTTTTTCTATCCAAAAATAGTTTTAGTTCCTGGTTGTATTTACTTGTTTCATTATAGTTTTTTTTTTCTTAATTACCAAAGTAATAGATGCCAAATGCAGAGAATTTGGAAAATACAGAAAAACACATGAGAAAAAAAAATGAACTTCCATTCAAGTATAATCACTTCAATATTTGGGTGTATGTTCTCTTAGTACTTCTGTATGTATATAATTGCATTTTTTATGAGAATATTATCAGTATTTACATCATCAGTATGCATCTTGCTTCTACTATTTCTTCTACATCTTGAGTTCATAGGTTGTGTAGTTTTCTGTTGTGTGATTATAGATTGGGTTTGTATTTAAAGGATCCTTAATTCGAGATTAGTGTCATTTACAAGTAATTTTCTTCCTAGACGGCAAGATAAATTTAAATAATTTTCCATACAGATCGACTTGGATTAATGCCATATAAATGATAGCAGAACTCAACAAAATATATACAGCTACTATCATTATTTATCTAATCAGAATCAGTTTTTACAATGGGTGTAACATAGCTACTAAAGACAGTAATTTTTAGCATTTAACCTTTCTAACTCTTTATGATTATATGATTATTGTTTTGTAAAATCACATGTAAAATCTGGATCCCCAGATTCATTCTGGTTATACTGATGAGCAAGATAATCTATAGTAATTTTAATTTATAGTGAGAGTTTATTTTCCCCTAAATGTCAGAGAATAAATACCTGTTTCACCATTGTAGCCCTGTAACAGCAGAGGCTGGTCCTTAGGAATTTGGGGATATAGCTCCAAGTGGCCCACTGAAAGCATGAAACTTCCTGGAAGTCTAATGTTTTAGCTGATGTGAATTTTATATTGAATCCCATTTATGTAGCCAATATATAGCCATCTTTGTTTTAATAAAAATAATATTTTATTTACTTCCCTTTGGATATAATTATTGTGCCTGGAGAAGTGTTTATCCTGTGACATTTGAGTAGTTCCTTGCTCAGTGTCATCTATCTATAGGTAGGGCCACTGTGTTGCCCAACTCCAGGGGGCGCCATTCTTATCTTGGTTGGGTGAATAGTATCCCCTGGAGCTGAGCACTGCACAACCTGTGCTGCCACTGCTGTAGGCGCTTGTTCTGCCTCTTGGATTTGGTTTGCATGCACACCGAACCTGAAGAACACAGAACAAGGCACAACCTGTGCTGCCACTGCTGTAGGCGCTTGTTCTGCCTCTTGGATTTGGTTTGCATGCCCACCGAACCCGAAGAACACAGAACGAGTCAAGGAGGCCTACACTGCATTCTCAACTCTGGTTGTGCCCCAGCAGACTCAAGCATTCTTTGAATCTGCCTAGTAAGTTCCCTTTAGAAAATTCTTTGTGTCTCACATTGATGGCACTTTCGTTCTTTTTGGCAGCACAGAACAGCTTGTTTCTCTTAGAAAATAGACTTTTGTGAAAAGCTAGATGTCTGAATCACACTTCCTTACATTCTTTGAATCTGCCTAGTAAGTTCCCTTTAGAAAATTCTTTGTGTCTCACATTGATGGCAGTTTCGTTCTTTTTGGCAGCACAGAACAGCTTGTTTCTCTTAGAAAATAGACTTTTGTGAAAAGCTAGATGTCTGAATCACACTTCCTTATGAAAAACTCTTTTTTGTTCAGAACATAGCCATATAATAAATAACTTGTAAGCAGGTACTGATAACATTTGAATTATGGTTTAAACGAGTTATGTTTACAGTCATTTAGTTATCATAACAGCTGAACTGAACAGACCCCCTGAAATCTCCTCAGTGTGAAGGCACCACCTTCCTTTTGTCAAAGGTCTTTCTGGCTGGCCAGTTAGTCAGTTGGTTAGAGCATGGTGCTGATAAAACCAAGGTCCAGGGTTTGATCCCTGTTCTGGCCAGCCACCAAACAAACAAGCAAAAAAATTAAATTAAATTGAAAACAAGTTTTCCCACAGCATCTCAAGCCTAATGTTTTTGCCCCATCTTCTAATTATGTACTAAGCATTGCTGATTGCCTCTGATAATACCAGTAAACTTTTTTATTTGTTATATTCAATACTTAAGTTAATATCTTAGCAGTTATTGTATTCAAAACTGAGATGGCTTTGGGATATCTTTATCTGCTGGGCACCTCATTCACACCTAATATCTGGTTCTGCCTTCTGTTTCCTACTTCTCAACTTTTTTAATTTTTTAAATTTATTGTCTTTTCCTTTCTTTCTTTTTTTGATTATGGTAAAATATATATAACATAAAATTTTCCATTTTAACCATTTTTAAGTGTAGAATTCAAGTAGCATTAATTACATTCACAATGTTGTACAGCCATTAGCACTCAATTTTTGGATTAGGCAGACATGGGTCAGAAGTAAAATCTGTAGCTCTTTCTGTGGTGCTCTGCGTCCTCTTCCCTCTGTAACTCAGAGCTTCATTAATAATTCGTCAGGAAATGGACAGAAGGAAAGCTGCTTTCCAGCTCCAGTTCCTGCTGGGAAATCGTCAGTCAGGCAAGCCACTACTGGCAAAAGTTTTTTCAATCCCATTTCTCTTAAATAGACAACATCATCTTATTTCTACTTCTATTTATGTATCTTGTGAAATATAGAGTCCCTGAAAAAGAGTTTCAAAATGTTTATGTACAGTTTAAAGACGAATAATAAAATGAACACCTGGGTACCCACCATGTGGCTTAAGAACTAGAACATTGCCAGGAATGTAGAGGCTCCTGTGTGGTCCCACTCCCAACCTCTCCCTCCTCCCTCAGGTAACCACTGCCCTGAATTTTGTGTTAGTCATTGCCTTGTCTTCCTTGTCAATATGTATATTGATTTTTTATCTCAATATATGTATTCCTAAATTACGTGTTGTCTTAGATTTGCTTGTCTTGTAGCTTATTGGAGTCACACTGTGTGAACTCTTGTGTGCTTTTTCTACTTTTGATCTAAGTTGGTGTGTGTAGCAATAGTTCATTTTCAGTGCTGTGTAGAACTCTGTGGTAAGAAGACGTCCCAATGTATTTATTCATTTTACTGCTGATGTGTATTTGTGTGTTTTCCAGTTTTTGTCTGTTATCTCTTCACTGCTGCTATGTACATTCTTGTGTGTGTCTCCTGGGGACATGTACAAGAGTTTCTCTAATGTGAACACCGAGAAACGACTTTCTGGTGATAGTGTAAATTCTATTTTGTTTCAATTAGATGATCATATGATTTTCTTCTTTAATCTGTTGATGAAGTTAATTACATTAATTTATTTTCTGATATTTAACCAGTCTTGCATCCCTGGGATGAAGTCAAACTTGATCATGATTTATTCTCTTTTTAATACAGTGTTGGATTTAGTTTAATATTTTGTTAAGACTTTTATTTTTGTGGCCTATAATTTTCTTTCTTGTTGTCCTTGTCTGGTTTTGGCAAAAGAGTTATGTTAGTTTCATACAATGTATAAGGGAATATTTCTTACTTTTCTATTCTGTGGAATCAATGCTATTTGAATTGTATTCCTTGAACTTTGGTAGAATTTATCTATAAACATACTCTCATGCTTTCTTTGTGGGGAGATTTTAAACTGATTGCATTTCTTTAATGATTAAATGACAATTTAGGTTTTCCTGTATCAGTTTCGGTGAGTTCCATTTTCTAAGATTTTATCTATTTTATCTAAGCTTTCAAAATGTTGAGTATGAAGTTATTCATATCTTCTTAATCACTGTTTAAGCTTTACAGCAACTGCAGCTATATTCCTTTTGCATTCCTAAAGTTTACTTGTGCCTTCTTCTTTTTTTTTTGCCAGAGGTTTGTCAATTATTAATTTTTTTGAAGGAGCAACTGTTTGCTTTGTTGAACCCTTTCTGTTGGATATTTCCTTTCTATTTGTTTCCTTCCTCCAAATTTCTTTGTTTTTATTCTGTTCCTTTTTCCTACATCTCAAGATGGAATTTTATCTCATTAATTTTGAACATTTTATCTTCTCAAATGTAAGCATGTAAGCCTACATAACTTTCCTTCCAAGTACTGCTTTAGCGGAATTCCTCGTTTTGATATGAATATTTTTGTTATCATTTAGTTCTAAATGTTTTCTAATTTTTGTTATGATTTCATTTTGACTCATTAGTGGATAATGATGTTTTTTTAAAAACTTATTGGCCATTATTGTAAGTTGCTGGAACACCAACTCATTACTCTAATAATTGATATGTAAAAGAAAGACTCAAGCATTTAGCCTATCTTTCCTTTGTGAATACTATTTCAAGTAGACCAAATACTTGATTGAGGAAAGCTTTTCCTTTTAGAATTCCAGCCAGTAAATGCAGATCCCTAATAAAATAATGGATCTATGCGGTGATATCCGAAGGATGTTAAAATAATCATATGAAAGCTTGATGAGAAACTTTATAATGGAGGAGTCAGGATGATGCCACCTCAACTCACTGAAAACGTGACAGTCAGTTATGTGCCCCATGTGGAAAAATACTAGAAGTACAGCCCCACCTCTGAAGTAGTCTTATCAAAAATAAAAAAAATTGAATGAGAATCTAATTACCCATCTCCATGAAACTATCAGGTTACTGAAAATACAAAGGATAATAGAACAATTTAAATATTAAATGATATGAGGGAGCAATCAGCCAAATCCAGAATGTAGGATAGTCAATAGGACAAATGACCTGGTTTCTCCTATAAATGAATGAGATAGAAAGGAAAAAACAAACAAACAAACAAAAACCAAAGACAAATTGGCATAGAAGAAAATGACACGAGACATAAAAACCAAAAAATAATTTTTTTAATAATTCAATTCCAGCATTTTATTTGTTTCCGTTAGGAAGATCATTTAAGGGATTTTGTCCACCATACTGCCAGAAATAGAAGTCCAATTTACTTTTTAAAGATATAAGCAATTTACTTTTCTTTGTACTTTCATATCACATCTTTGTATGGAAATAGTGTTATGGAAAGAACTTGGCAAGGAAAACTTCAGACACTTGGAAAGTTGGAAAGCCAGGAAGTTTATTATGCTAGCATGACCCAGGTGAACTCATGTTCTAAATCCTGGGACCCTGAGTGCAGGGAGAGTTATGGTTTTGTGCTTTTCTTGAGCAGGCATGCAAGCTTCTCATTGGCCCTGCCTGTATCCAGACAGAGTCACACAAACTGCGGGCTTAATTAAGCAGCCATACAGAAGCAGGAAGTGCAGTTAGTTGGGTTCTGTAAGTTTCAATTTCTAAACATATATCTTGGGCAAGCAGTTTCTCCGAATTCAGGTGGCTCAAACAAGCAGGCAGCAAGCAGCAGGCAGCAGGGTTACAGAAGCCAAAGATGCAGACAACTGATTAACCACTGAACCAGCTGCTAAGAACCCTCTGCAAATAAACACATCTTGTCACAAAGTGACACAAAGGGCCTTGGTTAAAATCTTCCTTCAGGACCCCCAACAATAGTATATACATGCTCCCTATCAATTTGTTAAAACTTGCTTAATGCATTCAATGTTTTTCTTTAAACTTGTGTATAAATCTAATTTATAAATCTATTCTTATCTTAAAAGAATTAAGGAAACTTAATATTTTTAAACTGTAGCTGACTTTTTTATAAAGTGAGTAATTCCTTTGTCAAGTAAAAAAGTCTCACTAATTTAAATTTTTTATTTTTGTGTAGTGAGTTTTCTTGAGGGACAACACAATCATTCCATTACCAAAAAACAATTGTCAATGTGCCAAAAAAGATTCCTGTGTCTGCCAACAGCATAAGGCCTTGGAATTTGTCCTAACATCATTTGGCCTGTGTTATTTACCCTTTTTATAAAGACATGAAGACTAAAGTTATAACCTCCATAAAGTCTATAAAATAATTTCTTCTATATGGCTACTCTTCCTATATTTTACCCCAATGCTCTGGGACAAAAAGATATCAATTTCTGTTTGAGTATTATTTTCCAAATTTCATGTGGAATTTTTTTCCAAAGAAAGGAGGATGAGAATCCCCACATTTATGTATCGCCCAACCCTGTCTGCTGTAATGGTTTGTTTACCTATAACTAAGAGACCATTTTTATTTAGTGTTTTGCCTTCTAAGTAGAAAAACTGCAGAATTTCAGAAAAGTCAAGTAAGAAAGTTCCATACTCCTAAACTTTTGTACTTTTGATGTTTTGATTTGATATAAATGGATATATAGTTTTAAAGACAGAGTTCTTAGAGGTCAGACCTGAAGACCAGTCAACACTAACCTTACTTTACACAGATGGTTTCTTCAGGCCTGACATGGTCATTGTAAGAAAAGGGATTTGACTTCATCAAGAATGTCTAGTATTGTTCTTTTAGGAAAACAAAAAAGGTAGTACTGCACTGCTCACTTGTCATTGCTACTACTTAGTTTCTGATTACAGATTATTGTGTTTAACTCTATTTCCTAAATAAAAAGTTCATTCTTTATTGTGGTAAAATATACAAAAAATTTTTATCATTTTAGCCATTTGTACATGTACAGTTCAGAGGCATTAGCTACATTCACATGGTTGTGCAACTGTCACCACCATGCATCTCCAGAACTTTTTTTTTTTTGTCTTTTTTACTGACCGGTAACGGGATCGCAACCCTCGGTGTTGCGCCCACACCGCGCTCAGCCAGTGAGCGGGAACCGGTCTCCACATGGGATCCGAACCCTCGGTGGGAGCGCCGCCGCACTCCCAAGCGGTGCACTCTCGAGTGCGCCACCAGGCCGGCCCCTCCAGAACTTTTTTATCTTCCTCAGCTTGAATTCCATACCCACTAAACAATAACTCTTCACTTACCTTCCCTCCAGCTCCTGGGAACCACCATTTTGCTTTCCGTCTCTATGAATATGAAAAAGTTTATTTTTAAAGGCAATAGTTTGAAATCAGTTTTTTGTAAAGAAAGCAGGTGTCTCTTTCGTGGAGCTGTCCTCTGTAATAGGAGAGAACTGTGTGATGCTTTAAGGTCATTATTTATAAATAAAAGAAACAGTGTGTGGTCACTGGCATCACCCACTCACTATGTTCCATGACATCTATTACAGGCAGAGAATTTTTTGTGGGCCTTTCAAAAAGGACAAATCAACGAGGTGCTGAAATCTTGGCTGATACTTTTAAGGTAGGTAAAGGATAATTTAGGCCTGGCACAGAGTAATTACTTAATAAATATTTATAGACCCATTGAATTAATGTGTCATGAGTAATGGTGTTTATCCTTCTCTGGCTTTGTAAAATAATTCCTAATACTTGTACATTTGCTAGAAGTTTTAAAAGCTACCAAGTTCAAATTTTTCAGTAAATCAGCTTCATTGGGCAATCACAGGAGCAACAAAGTTAGCATTGACATCTTCTGTTTTTTCCCAGTGTATAATAATACAACCACCTGGCAGATGTTCCTAGCACAATTGACAACTTAAAAAACCAAACAAACAAAAAAACAAAACAAAACAAAAAAACTCTGGCGACCCAATTGACTCTGATATGAAATACGGATTTTTCAGATTGGAATCAGGGGTCACCTATACTTCAGTGCCTACTGTGTTCTGGAAACTGTGGTAGGTATTGCATGTACATCCTCTCGAGGTCCTTTTATACTATTAACCATTAATAGAATGGCTCTCCAGACTGCTTAGGAAGAGCTATCACCCTCAGGAAGCTCTGTCCCCTGTGAGGCTGTGAGGCTCCAGCTGGGCTACAGTTTGCACAGTCACACATTTGGAAGGAAGCACTGAGCTTTCTTCTAGAAGCAGTCTTAATTTAACTGGCAATACCAAAACTTGTGGGTCCCCATTTTTCTTCCAGATATTCAGTGTCCCTTACAGCCTTCAAAGGAGCAGGCATGGCTCAGGCAATTTAAATTGGTTTTAGAATTAGTTTGCAATACCAAACTGCTTGTTTTCTATTGTCTGCATAGGACTATGCAGTCTCCACAGTTCCCGTGGTTGATGCTTTGCATTTGAAGAGTTTCTGCAGCATGGCTGGGCCTAACCTGATCGCAATTGGGTCTAGTGAATCTGCACAGAAGGCCCTCAAGGTAAATATAAAACTGTACTCCTAAATGCAGCGGTGCCTGGCACAGGGTTTTTCTAATTCTGTCTGCTGTGCTGGCAGGGAGAGAACAGGCTGGCTTGAGCTTCCTGTGATGTGTACTGTCATGACCTCATATCCATTAGGCACCAGCAACACCTAAGTGTCAGAAGAGCTCTTCTCTGATGAGCCATTCTTAGTCACACACCAGGTTTCCTAGATGGCCATGATTCAAAATAATAAACACCACACTCGTCACAGTTATTCCTTTGGGGAATAAAGGGCATGCCACCAGATAGACCTCCTTGTAATGTTTTCTCTTTTAAGTCAGTGAGCTGGTACACAAGGATTTGTTGTATTATTCTTATCTTTCTGTTGTATCTGAACTATTTGGTCATGATCTCTTAGAAAGCCAAAAGCCTTCAGAAGTCCTACAAAATTTAACTTCTTCATTTGCATTTGGAATAAATTAATTTGGAATAAAAAAATTTTAGGACAGGAAATTTTCTCATTTTTGTAGATGAGAATAGGAGAGCCCAGAAAAATTAGACTTGCTTAGGTCACACAGGTAGATCAAGAGTGGAAGTCTTTGAGAATGAAGAAGACCTTCCATTGTTGTAGTGCTTTCCAGTTCAAAGACACTTTCCTTCTTTGTAACTTCAGCCCTGTGATGATCTGGACACCCGCTAAGGGCAAAGACTGTATCTGTTTTGCTCACCATTGTGCTTCTTTGTGCTGGGCCCATAGATAATAAATATCTGGTGAATGGATGAATAAACGAATGAGGGAGGTGATATTACCTCCATTTTGCAGGTGAGAACACTAGATTTAGTCTAATACTAAATGGTGGGCTGGGACTGCTGCCCCTTCCTCTCAGGTGGCCCTGCACGTCAACATACATGACTTACTCAAGGGCCCAAACCAGAAACTCCTCTTAGGCAAAGAGAGAAAATCTGTGTGCCCCAAGGTGTATAGTTTATTGGTCTGTCCTTTCAGGTCTTTCCAGTTCTACTCGGTGCTGAACTTGATGCAGTGTGGCCAGGAAACAGTCGTTGTCTTGAGCTGAATTTCCCATCTGCATTATCTGCAGCTCCTTCAGCTAGCTCACCTGGCTTTTATTCTCCCCTTTTCCCAAACTGCATATTTGACTGTGTATCTAGGGCTTTTAACAATTGTTGCTGAACAATCTATCTCAGAATTTTATTTGTATCATGATGGCTTTTTCTTCATTTTCTTTAAAGAATGTCTTTTGTTCTGCTTCATCTGGAAGGCTGTATCAACTTTGTGTGTATAAAAAAGATGGTGTCTTAAAGAAAGCATTTGATGAATGGTGTCACTCAACGGGTCTAGGAAGATAATCTTTCTCCTTAGGGACTAACTGGTATCTATCCATGGCAAGTGGGTTGATCTGAAATGGATTACAAAGGAACAAGAGGGTTAAAGCTGGTCTATACCATACCTTTGTGTGAATCAGTAGAAAGAACCCCTTCTGGGTAAGCAAATTAGGAAAAGTAGCCCCTTCTGCCGTTCCAGGTAGACTAGGTCCCTAATTCAAATAGCTTGGTCCCTAGCTCCATAGGTCCCTAACTCAAATAGTCTGGAGAAAATAACTCATTACAAAATAAGATATATATAATGCGGTTAATTAGCACTATGTTATACAAAATAGACCCTAACTGCTATTCAAAGTTCAGAGAAGAGAGGGGAGTTCCCTGACGGCTAGCTATTCAGAGAAAGCTTCCAGGAGAAAATGGGGCTAGATGCAGGTCTTGAAGAATGAGTGGCATTTGACAGGGTGGGATTCAGCAAGAGAATGTTCCAGGTGGGGACATGGCATACACAAAGACTAAAGTACAAAGTACATTCCTGAGATGTGAGCACACCAGCTCCACTAATAAAGGACTTTCTTGTGAGCTTCTGGAGGTACAGCTGGATGGGGCAGGTGAGGTCAGAAGAGATGGGAACTTAAAAATGAGGAAGACAAGATTATCACCATGAAGCAGGGGCCTGGGCACCCTCAGGACTTTACGCAGAAGGGTCTGCATTTCTTCAGAAATGTTGGATCAACATTTCTTTCACAGAAAAAAAAAAAAATGGAGGGGGAAGACCCTGCAGTCAGAAAAGAGGATCACTAATAACCTAGAAAAAGAAAGTCAAGCCCCAAGTCCATTGTATGTCCTGGCAACTCACTCCCATTTCTCTGTTCTGCCTTCCCTTCCCATTGCCAAGTTCTCTAAGACCACATCTCTTAAGGGCATCTTATGAGGACTTTGTAGTCCTCCTTCCTATAGAATTCATTTAAGTTAATGTTAATCATGATATTCATTCTCTACTTGAAACCTTCTGTGTCAGAAGCTATAAAAAATCCTCACTATCTAGAAAGGCATTCTTTGAAGATCATGTTTTCCATCAGCAAATGTGCTGCCTAAACCATGGGCCTAGGGAGTTGGTGAATACCCACCTGCCATGTTCCTAGCATCAAAAACGTCCTTTTAACTTATAGTGAAAGCAGGAGGACAAACTGAACTGGAGAATAATGAGATCTCCTTGAGGGAATGGTCTCAGGTCAGAAATAGGTAGGTTGGTGAAATTCAACTGAGCTGCTTATTTGAGAACCGTTTGGCTACCACGTTAGAACTATCAATAAAATCGATAATGGAGTAAGTCCTACGACTAACATAGAGATATAAATGCTGATATAGACAAGCAGGAAGACAGATGGATAGAGACAGATATTTCATTTACAAATAATGAAAGCATTATTAGTTTTATTTTTCCCATTTTACAGGTGAAAATACTGAGATCTGATGAAATAAGCATTTTGAGCAGGATCTCATGAATCTAGAATCAGGTTGCCTGGGCCCTTGTCCCAGATGCCCATCCCATTCCGTACCCATTCTTTTTCTATTGGAAAGCCTTTCCTAATTATTTTACCATGGATTAGTTCTGGCTGAGCTCCCTTTCCTCCTCCCCTCTCTCTCTCCAATTATCCTCCCTCTTCCCATTTTTTGCTGGTATCCAGGATCTGACTGGTCTCAGGGAAAACATGAGTTTGGTCCCAGATATCTATTTTTTCCCTTTGCAAACTTTAATGTCTCAGTACTTGTCTCTGTAGAGAAGCTCCTGGCCTCTTGGCCATTTCCATAAAGGGCATATTATTTAAATGTAGGTGAATTGTGCCTTTCTGTGCCTCACACTGCAAGCTTGATCACTTCCCGCATCTGTCACTGCTCTCTGAGGACTTGTTTCCTCCAGAGTCTGAAAGCTGCTTCTCAGGTATTCATGTAAAGCTGAGAGCCCAAAGGTTTCTGGGTAGTCTTACTGCAATTCAAACACTTAGTGCAACTTTGTAATGAGTTGCAATCTATTCTTAGTTAATGAAGTGTGTTCTTATGGAGATAGTCATCATACCTGTCCAGATTGTAGATTTAATAGTGTGTGCTTTGTATGTTTAAATGAAATCATCTAGGAAGATTTTAGCAACTCTGTTGCTAGATGGATGATTGCATTGAAATATGTGTGCCCTGAACACGTTTAGTACAGTACCAACCAAGAGAAGGAAGATATACTGTTACTGAATTTTACCATTGATATGGCTAAGGTAGTGGTGGTGAGGTTGATTTGAATAAATTCCTGAAGATATTTAACATCAAGTTTGATCCTAGAAATACTATTATTTAATCAAAGTTAGTGTTTAGAGCAGTCTGCCCTCTCTACAGTTTCCCCCCCACACTTTCCATCATTTCCCTTATGCCCCTGGACAACTACCACCTCCATCCTGCCTCTCTACCTATAAAAAGAAGTAATGTAAGATTAATTCATTCATGCACAGACATCCCACCTACTAGTCTCATGTTTGCATTCTCAAAGATGAGAACTCCAGGGCCGGCCCGGTGGCGCACTGGAGAGTGTGCCGCTTGGGAGCGCGGTGGCGCTCCCGCCGAGGGTTCGGATCCCATGTGGAGACCGGTTCCCGCTCACTGGCTGAGCGCAGTGCGGGCGCAACACCGAGGGTTGCGATCCCGTTACCGGTCAGGAAAAAAGACAAAAAGGAAAAAAAAAAAAAAGATGAGAACTCCAGTTGCTCCCCAGCTGGAACTGCTGCTCACAAATATAATTTGAGCAAAGGAAGCCAACTTCCAAACAATACATATCCTATTATTTCATTCATATAAAATTAATCAACAGACAAAACTACTCTGTACTGTTCGCAGTCAGGATAGTGGTTACTTAAAGGAGGGAGGGAGTGATCAGAGGGCCAGTTTGTATGTTGTGCTTTATCTGTTACACTTTATATGTTATATTTTAATTTTTAAAAGTTTAGGAAAAATACACATATTATATTGTTGGGAATGGACTATGACTTACGGAAATAATTCTCCAATAGTTGGGTCTGCCTAACTCCTAAACCGCTGCTTTACCCTCTACATGATGCCTGTCTTTTTCACAGACTAGCATGGTTTTAATCTTTTTAATTAAGGGGGGGAGCATCATAAGGAGTAAATTTGTACCGCATCTCACCCCGTTCTTTTTCTAGATCCATTCCAAAATCGCTTCACTCTTCAGGAACTTGGATTAATTACATGCTGTCACAGGAGGACAGATTGTAATATCTACCCTCAGGGGTGACTTGCAGTAATTCTCAGTAATTATTTTAACTCAATCTCCTTGTTAGCACTCAGTTCTCCAGTCAAATGAAAAAGAAAAAAAAAAAAGGAAGGAGGAAGGGAGGGAGGGAGGGTAGAAGTAGAAGCGGGAGGTGGCAACCCTTAAATAAAACTTTCTTGAAACTAATCAGATGAGGAAGCTGCTGACCCTGCCTTGGAGGGACTGTGACACTGACCAGCTGGGGGCTATGCCACCTGCTAGCTGGGCAGCAGAGGAGCATTCTCACCATCCTAACCCTGTGCAAAAGACCAGTTATTTTCTCCTTTTGTCATCTATGGTTTTGGTCAGTAGCCTTTCTTTCTTTCTTTTATTAATAATTCTGTTCTTTTATACCACAGT